GACTTCTGGCATTGACGCCAACAACCGCATTGCCTGCAGGTGGTGCAGGAAGTCTGTGAGGAAGAAAAAAGGGAAGAATGTGAAACAGCTCCTTCTGAAGGAGCTATATTTGATTCAAACTCACTTTGTTTGGTGTCAGTTCTGACAAGCATCAGCCAGTGGAGATGCAAACATGGAAGGCTCAGGAGTGACAACAGAACTAACACCACCTTTCTAGAGATCTCTGGAGGAAGATGTGCGGGGGGATTACCCCTTATTTCCCCTAAAATACTTGCAAGAGAAGCAACAGACAAAGAGACCTCCCAATGTTACTTACTATCACCGTCCCAGTTGCTTCGGGTTACTAAGCTCACTGAGGCACTCAGAATCACAGCTGCTATAATATCATCCTTGGTCTCCTTGGTCTGAGCACTTAGGCATGCACAAACATCCTAGTTTTGGCTGCAGGAAGATCCCTTTCTAAACTAGTTTAGACCAGGTAATAACTGGCTTGCACAAGGAGCTGTTCTTCTCAGGAGCTGATTGCCGCTGGGCAGTGTCAGGAGTTTGCTCCTCCAAGGCAATCAGTAGATCCAGCTTACAAGGAAGGTAAGCACAGACATAACCAGAGTGAGTGCTTCTGGAGGAACGTGGGGGCTTTATTTGCATCAATTTCACTTGGTGTAATGCTGCTTCTAACACATATCCTAGATAGCTGCCACTGCTATCAATGAACCTTGTACGACTGAAGGTTATGAGTTACTACATGGGGCTAATATTGTAGGAGGTCAAACCTACGGAGCAGATTGCCAGTCAGAGAAGGACAACTAAGGGCTGTCCTGGCAGGTTGCAGGGGTGGATTAAGAATGTAGAAGAGCTGAGCTGCCAGGTCCTGTCTCCTCTGAAAATGTCAGAGACTGAGCTAGAACCAATGCCTCAACTCTGTCCAGACCACGCTGGTTTGGATGCACATGGGATCCAAAGTTTAAGCCTAATTACCAATAATCTTGGTGACAGTCAGTTGAAGATCTCTGCCAGCTTTATATATACAACCACAATGTCTATTTGCTGTGGAAATGTTAATTACTGTATTTTCATGATTTTTTCCTGTCCTGCAGACTAAAAATATCCATTTTACAGCTGGAGAGGAAGCAGAACCACAGCAATGTGAAATGATTTGCTTAAGACCACGCTGTGTTTCTTCAGCAGACATAAGGATATGAATTCTTATTTCTTGGTTCTCAGGCTAGTTCTGGTCCCCATTCTTATCCTCACATCTTAAGTAAGTGTTTTTCTATGCTTTTACAGATTTTCTTCTGTACACAGAAACAAGTGGGTGCAAGCATTTAAGACTCCCTAAATTTTGGGTTTGGCGGGCGAGGGGGGGAGGGCGGTGGGACATGCTTGAAATTAAAAACCAAAGTAATTTTTTGAAAACCAGAATGAATGTTGTTAAGGAACTCAGTCCTCCAACACAACTACTTATATGGCCAGCTGTTAGGCAGCCCTGCTAACTCTGTTTTACGACTACTTCATAGTGTATTCATGATGAGAAGTGCTCCAGAATTCTTCATTCTGGGTAGAGAAAAGCACTTAATTCTTGGCTTCAAGGAAATCTTGTTCACATAAGCATTGTTCACATAAGCATTACTGAAGACTCGCCAAGGCTGATGTGTCCAGGAAGTATCAAAAAGGAGAATATGCACAGATAATTTGGTGGTACCCAAATCATCAAAATATTTTTATGAATATATTAATAAAGCAACTTTGTTATGTTCAATTTAGGTTACTATTAAGGAGTTATTTGCCATCTGCTTTTTAAGAAAGGTTGAATTACCCTCAATCAAATATACTTGATTTGCTGGGGTCCCTAAATAAATTTTAAATAAGGTTTTAAAAAAAATGCAGCAAACGGGCTTATTCTATATTGCCACAAAAGAATATATTAAAACTGCTTTAAAAACTTATCCAACAACCCCCCCAAACCCATAACTTTCTTGTATTTTAATACTAAGAAACTGTAGCATAAGTGTGGAGAAAAAAAGTATTAAGGAAACTGATGTTTATTTTTTATCATCCCAATTTGCTTCAGCAATAGAAAGAAGCTGAAATTATCTGACTGAATTGTAAGACTGTCATTTAGGAAATTATCCAGGAAAATAAAACACAGGTTATGAAGAGAGAGGCAATTTTTTAAAATTATGCTTCACCTATCCTGGTCTCTTTTAAATTCCCCAGATTAAACAGAACAGACAGCATAGGACCAAATAACTTTTCAGTCTGAGATATGCCATCTACTGTAGATTGGAAGGGAAAAATTAAACTAATCATATGTCCCATAGGAGTCCAAACTAATTTAAAACTTAAAATGAAGCATCACTGTAGGATCCTCAATGGGTTATCTGTGGCCAAAAGAGCAAACAAGTCATTACAGGGAAAGAAAAGAATGGCAGATACCGTGTGATAGGAAAAATCATTGCTTTGTTTATATTTACAATATATACATTGGCATTGTTTATGTTGACACTGCAGCATCATCTGTGTGGTCTTTGTAATTCCATGTCAGAAAGGATACCACTGAGCTCATTAGAGTGGTTTCTGGAAGAGGTCGTGATCAGAAAACGATGATCAACCAAGGGAATGGAAAAAACTCCCCTATGCAGACAAATAAAAAAGCTAAGGATTGTTTGCTTTAATGCAAAGATAAATAAGAGCATGGGAGATAAAAAATATATTATGAACTATCTTGAAGCTTTCCACCTGTATTATGTCTGTAGATGAGAACAAGGCAACATTCAATTAAATTAAAGGATGGGGATACAAAAGTAATGAGCCTCTACACTGGACACCTAATATAACCTTTGCATTCACTGTCATGAGGAGAACGATGAAAGCTGACAAATGATAGTCAGTGTCACTGGATAACAAATATCCAGAGTTGTAACTATGGACAAGGCTGTCTGAAGGGTGTTAAGCTTTGGGGGGATTCATAAAATCTCCAGCAGATTAGGAAGAAATCTAAAGCATTTGTAGGGGGAGAGTGGAAGACAAATTGTTTCCATCATCTGACAGCTGCAGAGGTCTCACATACTCTTCTGAAATACCTTGCACTGACTGCTGACAGATGAATTGAGCCCTGGGTCTGATTCAGCTGCCAAGTTATTGGCTTGTTCTGGGACAGATGAAAAAAATAAGCTCTTGGCCTCATCTTTTGCAAATGTATTAAATGCCTCAAAAGAACTGGCAATCAATCAATTGCAGTTATGTAAAATACTGAAGTAGCACCTGTCTGATGATGAATTTCAGACATGAATTTACAAGGCTGGGACTCTCCTTCAAGTCCTGCTTGCTATGACCTGTACAGCTATGTGTCAGGGGAAAAGCTGTCCAGCCTCCTCCCAGGGCACCGAATGAAGTTGTACCTGCCCCGAGACCTCTGGGCTGGATTCTCAGCAGGGCTGACTCAACAGATGTTGCTTTAGCCTCCTGCAGCAACAAAGTCTGATCCAAAGCCTCTGCTCTTTCTTCCTACAGTCCATGTAACATATCAGGCATAAAGGTTACAGGCGGTTCTGCCAGTATGTAGGTATTAGGCAATAAATTTTGTGAAGCCTCAAAGTGTCAGGAGAGACCTGCGTAAAAAAAACTTGTCAAATTGAGATTTAGATACTTGAATTTCTGAGGCACATTTGTGCTTTTTCCATGGGGAGATCAGTTCTTTTCTGGGCTGCTTTTTATTGCACAGGGTGAGGGACAAGGGCAGGAGGCTACGACAAGCCATTAGAGAAGAGCAGGCTAGCTGAAGGGAGAAGGAAGGAGTTTGAAACCACTTGTGTTTCAGATGTCTCACATTAAAACACATCAGAATACAAATTGCTCTGCCAACAACAGTGTTTGAAAACATATCGATTATTTAAAAACAAATATACTTCATCCGGTCATAATTATTCCTAATGTGGCACTTAAATGGTGAACCATCACCCAGTAACTGCTTTTGTTCATGTGTGATGACAGCCTGTGCTTTATCACGTGTTAGCGTGTCAAGTGAGACTCTGGGCTTTATGCTAGAGGTCATTTTAACCAGCGAATGACTGCAAACTTCTAACAGCTTCATTTACACTAGGGTTTGAAAAGGTGTTAGTAAACAGAGCATGCTAAAATAAAGCTTTCTCTAGTAGAGTCTCAGTGGAGTAAGCACAGCCATGAGGTGTATAAGGATACCAGCTGCCAAGTAAGATGAAAGATTTTCCGTGTTGGAGTATCCCTTTCTACTAGCTCCGTGCCTGGCAAGACGGATGGGATCTGGCTGCCAGTGCACGCCACTGCCTGACACTTCGCATGCCAGAAAGCTGACAGCTTCCAGCTCCAGCCTCCACACAGCATGTGCAAGGAGGCCACATGTCCAAAGAGGCGAGTTTGTCTCACAGGTGGGGCCAGATCCTTCAGGCTTCCAGAGAGTTACCCAACATCACAAATTCATTTCCAGTCTGCCACCTTCCTCCAAGAATCCGGTTGCTAGTCTGATGACAGTTTGGCTTTTTTTTTTTTTTCCCCGTTGCAGCCTCAGTTTTGTAGAATGAACTCCTAAAAATCTGGCCCTTGGGTTAACTGTAGCATATGGTAGATGTTGCACATACCTTAGTAAATTGAGTGCTGTTTTACAGCCAGTAGGAATGCCCCAGGAGAAAATTGTGTCTTTGCTGTGTGAACGTACCTGAAATAGTTGGAGTAAAACAACTTTTCCCCTTGAGAACCTGTCTCAGAAAAGACCTCATATGTGTAATGATACCTCTAAGAGTTCACCCAGGTTAATGACTGTGAGCTCCGCTTGTGCCTTTCAAAACCACAGGGAAGGGTGGCAGCACGTGGACTGCAGCTGTTGCTCATGCCTGGGGTATGCTTCCCTCCTGACATGTTCACACAGGTGGCATTGCAGCCTTCATCTTTCCCTAGAAGGGTGTGACTGCAATCGTTTACCCTAATTGCTGTATTCCTCTTTCATCATAAATTGTAAAAGCCAGCACCCCCCCACACACACTTTGGGTACTGCTCCCCCTACTCAGCAGGTGACAAGTATGGGCAAAAGGTCCTCCCATGCTCCCAGTGTCTGGGGACCAGCTCCCCTCTAGGCTGTTGTGTTTTGCTCCATTCAGGGCCCTTACAGAAGCATCAGGTGTAAGTCACAAAGTGATGGTTTCTGGCTGTGGGGTAAGTGGCATCTGGCTCCCTCCAAGGTTTGGGCATTGGAAGAAAAAGAATTCAAAAGTTACATTTAAAAAAAATCTTTCTCTGAGTAGATCTCAGGTTTTGGGACCCTCAGGCATAACAAAGCAGCCATGCAATTATTTTTTCCTCCAGCTGCTTAGTTTTTCTTAGCTTCTGGCATGTCTTCTTGCTGATTCTTAGAAAGTGGGATTTTAGGTGTTTATTGCTGAAATCTTGAGTGATTTAGAATGTATGCTTAAAGGTAGTATGACTTTCAGAACTTACTTATACACCACTAATTTTCTAAGCAGTTAATGCTTTTTAAGGACTCTAATAATTTATTAGCACATTTCATGTGCTATAGCTGATGCAAAAATGCCAATTAACCCTCCCAATGTGCAGACAAGATAGATGACTATTAAGTCCCTATGGCGAGCCTTGGGAATAGCAAAGATGCAATGACCTGAAAATTGTATCCGTAGCTCCTTTGCCTTTAATTAACATAAATTTACCAGTGGAGTGCCTTTCCTCTTTTTTATTAATCCCTTATCTCCAGTCTTGGATCTGTTTCTTGAGCAATTAGGACAGATAGCTTACGCTTTCTTGATTCTTCAGACTCGCAGGGGCTGACCAGCCAGGCTAGATAAGCTGGGGGTTGTAGGACAGGACACAGCCATCCCGTGTGCAATACATTTACAGTTAAGCAAAACATCCCAAAGTAGGTAACTAACAAGTTTTCTACCTCATACTTGTGCATTTTTCATTGCATGTTTCTGAATATGCATTTTGTTTCCTCTTTTTCACACAGTGTCAGCACTTCCACACTTCAATTTTTTCTTTCCTGACTGCTGGCCCAGAAGTATCAGACGCTGCATAGGATTGTGGAGGATGCCCACTTGTATGCGGGGCAGAAGCTGCAAAGGACAGGTCAAGGCTCCTGCCTGAAGTGACAGAAGCATAGTTCAGGATAGGACAACTAAAATATTTCTACAGGAAACAGAAGTATGTGCGTCACTGTTCTCTGTGTTTCTGGGGGCAAACAGTGAAGGTAGTCTACTGTTTTGACTCCAGTTGCTGTTGATTGTCATAAATTTTCATGCATCTTTTGTTTCTGGTTTGCATTTCAGAGATACACAACTGTCCCTGGAGCCAGGCAAATGAGAGCTGTGGATGCATGTGGTTAGCTATGAGGAAATCTGAAATTGCTCAAATCCTGATGTGGCTACTAGCATCACCACACAGCTCAAGAGTGTCAGAGAGACTGGGATGCTGGCACAGGCTTTGAGACACTTCAGAGTTAACACTGTAAGTAATGCAGATTTTCATTGATAAAGAAGTGCATTATGATATTCTTTCTGTGCAATTACTTTTATGTTTAGTTTTGAAATGAAGAGGAATGCGGACTTTTATCTGTACAGGGGGAGAAAAAAAAAAGCAGTATACTATTTCTGTGCAAAAAAAAAAAAGTTTAAAGGAGGCAGTAGGGTTTCACTGAGGCAATAGGAAAACTTCAAAAGCAGTAGCATGTTTATATGGCTGTTCAGAGTTGCAGATGACTAAACTGTGTTTTAGCTTAGAAATCTGTCCCTATCAGCTGAAATACTTTATACTTTGTGCACCTCTTTGAATATAGCTCTTTCCTTAAGCAGGAAGGGTCTTAAACCATGTAAAACATTCCCTTAACAAGTCCTGATGGCAAGGAGATTTAGAAACTTACAGCTAAGTAAAATAATGGAAAAGGCAAGAATCAGTGTGCTGGGAAATAAGGCAGTGAGTCATGGTAAAAAGGGGATCTTTAGGAGTCCCCAGCTAACAATAGTATTGCAAGTCTATGTAGGGAAATATATCTAGTGACTTAATAGGCAAAATTGATAGGATTAGAAGGGTGCTGAGAAGCAGATGATTAGAGTCATCTGTTTAAGAACAAAATGACATTAAAAGTAGAAGGTCATAGGATTTAAAGATTAGCAATATTAAGTTTAGAAAAACAGCAAACTCAGAAGTCAAAACTGCCAGGCAGTCTCTCCTGCCATGGTACCAGTTACTGGAGCAGGGAAATAATAGTAGGATGTGATTGGCATAGGTATGTAGTTTGGGTTATGTACAGAGATGATTCTGTTCTACTTGTAAAATCACTGAAGTATCTCCGTATTAGACTTTTATTTTTAAAGGCCCTTAATAGCCATCCAAGGAAGGCAAAGACTGCTAATATTTTCTTTAATGCCCGTCCTGATAGGTGTTATCAGAGACAGACAAGATGAGAGGAAAACAGAATTTGCTGCCAACAGACTGTATTAGAATTGCTGGATAATGCCATGGTATTTACCTGAAACCTGTTATCATTTAAGCAGTGACAGCAGAACAATTAAGTTCTAATCTAAGGTAGATGTTTCTGATTACAGTGCTTCTGTACAGCTAATGTGGCTACACTGTCAGCTGGGTCTGTGTAGCCTTGGCAAGAAGAGGAAGGTGAAGGTGGGAACAGATTAGTTTTAGTCTCCCCAACAATCTTTGGGTCCCAGTTTCTATTAACATATGAGCTTCCCCCATCATGGTATTTTGTCTTTAACCCAACCTTATGGCATGGCCAGACCAAGGAAGGGTGACTGCTAATTGCTACATCAGCAGATCTCACTTCAAGTGCTGGGCTATGTTATTCTTCTGTGGCTTTGAGCTACTAGAATTGGAAATAGCATTTGAAGTGGCCCTTCCTAAGGTATGTGATGTAACACTTTAGACAAGATGCTGATCTCTGCTCCTGCCAGGCAGACAATAAATCATCCTTAAGTCAGCCACTATCAAGTGCAGTTCCCTTCATAGCTGCTTCACATGACCCCTGAGCCAGTCAGAGGTGCCATCAGAGCATGAACTTCTTCCCTTGTTACTGCCTAGTGCTTCTCTGAAGTCAACAGGGAAAAAAAAAATGCTTCTTGATAGTCTTTTCAGTTGCCCTTCTTCTCTGGTACCCAACCACTTTGCAAGAAAAACTGCAAGCACCAAGGTAAATAAAGAACAAATAGTAAGTTCTTCTTCAAGCACAAAGCTATCCCCTCAGCAGTACACTCTCCTTATAGTCGCTGCCTTTTTCCAACCTTGAAGTTGCAAATCTTAGAGTGTTGTTCCAAAATCAACTGGCATTGGTGAAATCCTTGCTCATGCTTGTATTTGCTTCACTCCATGCTGTGCTTTACTAGATGACTAAACATGCTGAGAATGTTGTGATAAACATGCCAACTATCTTTGATATTTGTGGGTGAGTGAATTTGAAAGCATATTTTAGTAGCCTCCTAATTCCTGTTCCAAACAGCCTCTGCCTATATATTTGATGCTGTTTTCTTGCAGTTCTTAGGCTGATTTTGTAATCAAATCAGCATGAAACCAAATAGAACATAATTATATAAGTGCACCAATAAATAAACCTGTTAACCCTCTCAAATAATATTGCAGTAAAAATATACACATTCACAGCTCAAATTTAGTGAATGTTGAGTCTGAATAATAAGTGAGTAGAAAAATGACCACATACATAGGGAAGGACAGAGGAGAGGCAATCAAGTGAGAAACAAAAATGGCTTAGGAAGCAATGAGAAGTCTGGAAAAGGAAAGCATTAAAAAAAAAATAATTGATGCAGAAAGTCAAAGAAATAAACAGCAATTAGTGATTCAAATACCTAATTAATATTCTCTTTTTACAAAAGAACACCTGCAAAGCATTCACTGCTGGGTCTTTCACAGAATCACAGAATCACAGAATCTCTAGGTTGGAAGAGACCTCAAGATCATCGAGTCCAACCTCTGACCTAACACTAACAGTCCCCACTAAACCATATCCCTAAGTTCTACATCTAAACGTCTTTTGAAGACTTCCAGGGATGGTGACTCAACCACCTCCCTGGGCAGCCTGTTCCAATGTCTAACAACCCTTTCAGTAAAGAAATTCTTCCTAACATCTAACCTAAAACTCCCCTGGCGCAACTTTAGCCCATTCCCCCTCGTCCTGTCACCAGGCACATGGGAGAACAGGCCAACCCCCATCTCGCTAGAGCCTCCTTTAATATACTTATACAGAGTGATAAGGTCACCCCTGAGCCTCCTTTTCTCTAGGCTGAACAAGCCCAGCTCCTTCAGCCGCTCCTCATAGGACTTGCTCTCCAGGCCCCTCACCAGCTTCGTCGCCCTTCTCTGGACCCGCTCAAGCACCTCGATGTCCTTCTTGTAGCGAGGGGCCCAGAACTGAACACAGTACTCGAGGTGCGGCCTCACCAGAGCCGAGTACAGGGGGACGATCACCTCCCTAGCCCTGCTGGTCACAGTGTTTCTGATACAAGCCAGGATGCCGTTGGCCTTCTTGGCCACCTGAGCACACTGCTGGCTCATATTCAGCCGACTGTCCACCATCACTCCCAGGTCCTTCTCTGCCTGGCAGCTCTCCAGCCATTCCTCTCCCAGCCTGTAGCTCTTCTTGGGGTTATTGCGCCCCAGGTGCAGGACCCGGCACTTGGCCTTGTTAAACTTCATACAGTTGACCTCAGCCCATCGGTGCAGCCTATCCAGATCCTCCTGCAGCGCCTTCCTACCCTCGAGCAGATCGACACACGCACCTAGCTTGGTGTCATCTGCAAACTTACTGAGGGTGCACTCAATGCCGTCATCCAGATCATTGATGAAGATGTTAAAGAGGACCGGCCCCAGCACCGAGCCCTGGGGGACGCCACTAGTGACTGGCCTCCAACTGGAGTTGTTGTAGTCTTTGTAGTTATTGATTGGTGGAAGGAAAAAAGGAGAAAATTGCCGCTGCCAACTGCGGTTAAAAGGAGTTGACAAATTGACACTAAGTGCTCCCTCACATGGCGACTATCCACACTGTTATTAACTCAGCCCATCCTTTCAGACGCTTGTACTTTGTTTAGTGTTCAGTGTTACCGTTTTTAATTCCTGGGTTTGCTCTACATTGCATAATGGTTTCTGCAAAACATAAGTCTGAACTTACCAAAGGGGAAGTAGTATTTTTATAACTTTAATTTTAAAAGTCATCAAAACTTAAATGTATAAATGCTGGCTGCTTATAATTCTGACACAACGTTAGCACTTCTGAAGTGGAGGGTTTCTTGTTCTTCTAATACTGCAGAGGCTGAGTCAAGATACTGTGGAATGTAAAATTTTACAAGTTGTGTTGGAGCCTTAATCCTAAGTCTTTGTTTGGATCCTCTGCTTTCAGAGTGACTTCTGAAATACTGTTGTGATAAAACAAATACAGCAAACATAGTACTATAGGACAAAGAAAATCTTCCATATTCTGCAAGAAGCAGAGGATTATAGCAGTTGCATTGTGACTTTGCCTCCTCACAGACTTTAATGGGATCTAAACACCCATGTAATAGAAGGTGTAGTATATGACCCAAAATAACATGCCGGGGAGTGTTGATTTTACCACACAGTGAAAAATCAATCTAGAAACTGTACACTTATAAAATGGCAGAACTTCCCCCATCCCTAGATGGTGTTCTAGAGGACTTGAAAAATATGACATAAAGGGCTTATCTGATTTAAAGATGTGGCATTTATTTAAAGATGAGCACACTATGAGGAGTTTATTTTGCAATATAATACTGCTTTGTGTGTCTGACTCAGCTGAATGACAGCTCATGTGAAGTTTTTGTGTGTTTTGAAATTGTGTTACTACAGTGGGCTACCTGCCTTCCTCTACAGTTCCCTGATAGAGCTTATGTTCCTGATTTGGTACAGGAAGAATTCCCTACATGACCCAGCCAGCAGGGTACAACCCATCTCAGCTCAGTTTTCCACTCTAACAGCTGCAGTTTTTTTCCTGTTCTGGACCAGAGTGGTGTGATTCCATGTGTGGCAGAAACTGGGCTCTGAAGTGTTGATGCACCTGAACTTGTGATGAGATGGGAGAGAACTGCCTTCATGTGAGTGATTCAGGTTCAGTTAGCATCATGTCAGAACATTTCTCTCTGTTCTCCATCTGCCCCGGAGGGCAGAACAAAAATGTGTTGTACTTGGTGATCAAATCCACTGGAAGGTGCAACAGGATAAAGAAAGATAACACTCTCCTTACTTTAAACTGTCTCCCTTTAAATTGCTTTCCTCCCCCCCAACCACCAACGCTTTGGGCCCTAGCCAGCTGGATTTTCATTCTCTGTTGATATCCTAAATGCATAGTCAGAAATGAGTGCATTGTGGTTTGCATTATTTCATTTATTTGTTTCTATGATGAGTTCTTATTTCTAGAAGCAGCATTTTCTTCCTGAGGTTTAATTACTTGGGGTTTCAGTAAATTAAAACCTCTTTATTGATAAACAGTAGCCAACAATGACACTGATAAGCATGCTAGTTAAAAGGTTGTTTAACATCAAGTGATACCATTGTTTGTTTTTTCCTTCCAATGAATATCCTTTCCAAGAAACAGCTATTGTTTTGATTGAAAATAAACTTTGGGGAAAAAAAAAAATATCTTGATTTCTTTAAAGAAAAAGCCTGCCAATGTTAATTGATATTATTCAGCTACCCTCATGTGCTTGGTTTGGAGTTTTGCTATTTAATTTAGCTGTCTTGACACAGACCTCATCCACCAGGGAAGCTCCTGAGCTTTTGCAGCTGTATTTATTTTGGTCTCTTTATGAACATGGTTAGCTAACAAAAAGTGGTTTCCAATGTACAATTTGTTTGTAAAGTTTCTAAATTATAGCCTGGCCCCTTTCATTGTGCAGAAGTAGAGGCTTCCTTAGCACTGTAACAAAAGCCAGTATGTAAGGAGCCAGCACTAGCACAAAAATGTTTTGCAGCAGTGCTGATCAGCAAGCATATAGATACCTGAATTTGGTTCCTCTGAAATAATCAAGACCAACAACCTCAGCAGTATCAGCTTTTAACTGGGAAATTAATGAAATATTACATCTGTTCTGCTGCTGGTGAAACAATGTTCCCTGCAAAAGTTCTGTTTTGAGAATGTAGATTCACTGGCATATTGAATCTCTTCAGGTCAGTTTCTAGAGAAAGTTTTTTGATGGTACCTCCAGTCAGTTAAAACAGCCTTCTCATTTTCCGTGTTTCTAATTTGTATGAAGTTTAAATGTACTCTAGATAAAGCAAAATAGCAACAGCCTATGATGACAGACAGAAGATAATGAGCTCAGCTAACTGCCTTCTCTATTGGTCTGATAGTTTTCCTTCTGAAGTCAGAGACAAAACTGCCATTGACTTCAGAGATGGACTGTACACAAATGGTATAAAACCATTAATACTTTTTTTTCATATGTCAGTTTTTTCTTACCTCAGTACAATATTCTAGAAATTCTAGCTAGAGAGACAAAGGTCTCATAGGCTTTGAATTTTTCCTTTAAAATAAATGAATCTCAACACTACATATTTTGTTAACATAACCAATTGTATCCTATATATGTTTCTAAGAACCACTTATAATCCTGTTTGGTAGAACGTCTATATAGTTGCATCATGGTATACAGAGTATAAGCTTACAACAGGATGTCTTAGCAAGTACTTCTTGTGGGAAGAAGTACTGACTCACCTCACCAATTCTGTGTTCTTCCATGGCAAACTGTGAGGATGTCTGTCTGTCTCTGATGCACCTTTTTAACAATCCACCTCACGTTGCAGAGCAGGAGGAGCATTAATCACACTGGTATTCTCCCCTGCACAAGACAAAAGTAAACAGTCAATGCAAAATTGTTAGCATCTCCCTTTATCTCTCTTGGTGTGAAATGCAATAGAAAAAAATACAAAATAATCATCAAGCAATAGAGCCAATTCAACCTTTTCAAGACTAAATATTACTTCAGAAAATGTAGTCTTTATTACAAATAAGAAAGCTTTTACTAATGGAGATCTAGAAAGAATCATTGCTGTTGGTTGTTGTTCTCTCAATCTTTTTTTCTTTAAATTGATGTTTCAAGTGTTTAAGAAGACAGCATTGCAAATATGTTTTTGATAAATGAATTCTTAGTGAAGTTACCATAAAACAATTTTAGTGAATCATTCAGAGACCTATGAAATGGAAAAGCCTTGAAAAACTTCTCTAAGTTTGCCTTATCCTTCTCTAAAAGGTAAATATCTCTAAAACTCCATTCTGATGTTGTTTTTTGAGCTTTCAGAGATACATGACTAATGTTGAGATGTCATGTGACATCAGTACATATACACAAGTTTATTTGCTGTAATTTTTTTGTAGTCTACTAAGAAACTGGTAATCCAGCTCTTCTGGCCAAGGACCTTCTGTACATATTTGGTTCCTCAGTGTTCAGTTTACACACTAAGCCATGAAGTAGTAGCTACTGAATGTACTTAATTTTTCATGACTGCCCAACACTAATTATACAGATTATGCTAAATTCCCTGGGAATTCCTTCCCTTCCTGCAAACAAAAGAGCACTGAGATCAGCAGTGATGTTCCCCAGCTCATACACGTCACAGTCTGAGTACAGGAGGGATGGCTGATGTTATTTGCTCTTTTATTAGCATGGCTCGGGGCAAATTCATTTGTATTCTTGTGTCTTCTTCCAAATGAGGATGTTTACTGGCCTACTACACAAACCGGTATACTTATTCTTCCTCTACTTTGTTTTGTGCAGCCTTGCTATTCTTGTGTGAGGAAAAATTGACAGGGAATAGTTCAGCTGGAAGAGACCTTCAAAGAGACCTTCAGTCCAACTGCCTGATCACTTCAGAGCTCAAAGTTAAAGCATGACCTTGAGGATGTTACCCAAATGTCTCTCAAACGCTGACAGGAATGGGGCATCAACCACCTCTCTAGGAAGCCTGTTCCAGTGTTTCATCACCCTCGCAGTGAAGAAATTTCTGCTCATGTCTGGTCTGACCCTTTACTGGCACAGCTCTGCTGGCTGCAGCCATCCTGCCATCAGTGACCAGGGAGCAGAGAATGGCACCTCAGTCTGTGCTTCCCCTCCTCAGGGAGCTGCAGAGCAGCAAGGCTGCCTCTTAGCCTCCTCTTCTCCAGACTGGATGATCCAAGTGGCCTCAGCCTCTCCGCAAAGGATGCATCTTCCAGTATCTTTACCAGCTTTGCTGGCCTCCTCTGTATGCTTCCAGAGCATCCTTCTTAGACTGGGGAGCCCAGAAGCGTACACAACATTCAAGGTGGGGCCACACCAACATTAAACATGGGTGAATGTTTTATGCAGGTAAACAAGTCCTCTCAGCTCTCCTGCTTGATACTTGAATTGACACACAAATGTTTACATTCCTTAATCAATAAGTTGCTAAATAAGCCACTAGTTATCCCAAAACACACAGCAGATGAGAATGAATTGAAGGAATGATAAATCACTGGAGAGATTTTGCTGGTGTGTCTATGCTATGGTGCACAGACACAAGAGAGCTCCTTGCCTGCTCTGCTGGGCCAGTCCAGTGGGTGTGCGGTGGCTCCGGCTGGCCAGCAGGAACAAAGGCTCAAGAGAACACAAACAGCTGTGGCCACCCATTTGAGGAAGTGTAGGCATGAGTGCAGCCTGCTAGGATGGGTAAAATGATGATGCTGGACAAGGCCTAAAGACAACACTCAAATCAAGTTATGTAATTACTTTATATAATAATATAAAGCCATAGTTTTAAACCTATATACAAGATCTGGCAGACAAAGTGTTTGTGCTTTGTGTTTTCATTGGGGAAATAAAGAAGCATCCCTTTTTCATAATAAAGGTAGAGAAAGTGTTCCAATTTTTCTGTTGACTTGTAACCCAGCATGAACTAGCCCAAGAGAGAGCACACACTGGGGCAGAAACAAAGCTTGGGAAGCCTGGAGGTGGTGGTCTCTCTTTTTTCCTCTCCATAACTCCAAACAGAAAGGAGAAATAGAGTAGTATAGGTCTCATCCAGAAAACGCTTAAAGCCATACTTAATTCTTTCGGTGTCAGTGCAAACTACAGCTATGCTCTGGGGATGGAGGAGACAGGATGGTGTGTCATCTTGCTTTTATAGAGTTATGGCTGTATTCACAGTAAGTTGCTATATTCACAATAGAGCATGGTCAGCACTAGAGTTATCCCAGCAGGGAGCATGGCTACCGAGTTATCAGACTAGTTCTCTGGTACCTTTCCCATTTCACTGACACGTGCAATAGTACATGACTTTCAATCTGGAGAGCTTTGACATTGTCACTACAGCTAGGGGACCTTTTAATGGCTATCTAGAGCTTTAAAGGTATACTTGGATCATATAGTTCTGATGTGTCTGATTTTAACCAATCCTTTGATTTATATTTTGCTTCCAATTCACTTAAGTGAAATAACCTTACTCTAGCAGTGTAAGAAAATGAAAAATGGATGCTTAGACTTGAAAATGTCACAATAATGTATGTTATAATTGGGGGAGATGAAAATACTTATCTGATAAGTTAGCATGAATTCAGTGATTGTTTCAGTCAACCCAAATGTGTACTTTTGCTGAAAACAATATTCTCCTCAGGTCTCCCTGTACAACCATGATACAAATACAACAAAATTTATAAGGATGAAATTCAAAACAATGTAATAAGAAAATAAAAATATATTGCCAGCAAGTTGCCTATCACCTAGCTCGGAGGCAAATAATAATTTACATCTATGTGGGGTCTTTAAACCAAATACTGAATGGCAAGAGTTTCATTCATGTGTGAACACAAAGTGTTAACAGATAACTAGTGAAACAACCACATTAAAAACAGCTTTATGGGGAAAAAAATCAATGAGATGATCAGGTGAATATTCTTCTGGATACAATGTCACCTTGGAAGCTGGCTGAAGATGGAAGTGAGGAAGGAAGTGAGTTTAGCTGTGAGGGTGATTTCTGGAGTTCTCAGGACTTGTTTGCTAATGCATTGGATAACTCAGGCTGCCAGGACTGGAGCAAAGCTTGCAGACACGAGAGCAGAAGTACTGATCTCTCAAAAACTCACATTGTCAACGCAAATCCACTGTAAACATTTTGATGGCTTAGCATTGAAGTAGCTTGCTTTTTGTGCCAGAGTAACTCTCCAATTGTCTGTTGCTGTCTGTCCTCTCACAGCTGACATGAAGCTGGCATAGATTCCAGGCTGCGTGCTCATTGTAGAGCCTGGCACAACTGTGTCATCAGTCAGTGCCCAGATTTTACTGAACATGGAAGCAAGGCTGGGCTATTGCAAGTCTGTGGTCCCCCAGAGCATCTCCAGATGATAAGACAAGATCTGTACAGCTCTGTGTACCTGGTACCCATGTACCAATAACATGAACAGTAAATGTTGACTGCTTGAAGGTTTGGAAATTCCCTTTACTAAGTAAATCATAATGTGACTCTGGGGCTCAAACCTGGCCCAGTGAGTAGGCATGAAGCAGATGTATCTGAAATGCCACTGGAAGTGTAATGCAGTATATCTGGTTTGTCTGAGATAAAACCACAGCTGTGCAAAATGAATCACAAGTTTTCTTTCCAGATAATTTAGCCAAAATTGGTGCAGAAGACTGATTACTCTTATCCTGGTGTGAATAGGGTCTAGTTCAGTTTACCATAAGCTTGGGTGGTTACACAACATTGAAATAGTAAACTATGACTATCATAATTACAATGCACACTTCGGCACACTTCCTTTAAATCAGGAAGACAAACCAAAGTGAACAATGGAGAAGAATGAAGCATGGACACATACAGTGACTCAGGCACTCCCTGCTTTCTCCTTTCCTTCTGTTCAATCCTCATAGAGCAGTTCTGCTTCAGGTTGACTCAAATTGGAGCCCAGCACAATGTACAAGCCTTCCTGTGGCACATAAACCACTCTTTCAACTACAGCTACTTGTCCATAAGTCATTTCACAACAGTCAAACTAATTACCATTGCATGTCTCCCCAAGAGTCAAAACTTGCTTGTCTGCCAAGATTTAAAAAAAAAAAAAAAAAAAAAAAAAAAGGAAGACTGAAGTGATATAACCTGGGGACACCTACTGCACCTACTGTACTGATGTATTTTAAGCCCAATTACACAGAGCTCTGACAGTGATTTGTATTCAGGGTATATCATTTGGTAATCGGATGAAGTCACACTGATCCCTTCAGACTAATAACAAACCCATGCAGGAGTCAGAAGTGATTTGAGTGGTCCAGCATAGGTCTCATAATGAAGATTGCCACTCCATCCATGAGGTTTTAGTTTTTAGGTGAAATCACTAGAATAGCTGACAAAACTAACAGCACAAAAAATGGGAAGCCCACAGCTGTTGGGACCAGCAGGCAGAGTCAGAAGAAAGACAGCCCAGGACCATGCCTTGGGGTGCCACATCCACATGTCCGTGGTCCTCCCGGTTCCCCCCCCACAGGCGAGGAGTGGCCCCACAGCACCCATCCTGCTCTCAGCCCTCCTGCTAGGCATGCTGCTGCTGAGTGTCCCAACAATTGCCAGGTTTTGCTTCAGCTTTTCGGTTTGGCCGAGGAACTCCTCCAGGTGGCCAGTAGCATGGTGCTGACAAACACATTACCAAATTAATTCACAGAGATTTAGAGGTGCAAAACAGCCTCCTGTTTACTGCAAATGAACAAATAAACCATTGCAAGTTTAAAAAATAATAAAAGTGGGCTATTACAAAATTTAAAATATTAGGGCTGCTTTTGAGCCCCTCCCAGGAATATCTCCCTCCACAGCACAGGATTCAGGCGTTCTCATTCCATAGTCCCCTCTTGGCTCCTTCTACATGATTACTGCTACAATTTGAATGCAATTAAAAGCTTTTAATTGGTCATCCTCCCAAATGTTTCAGAAATGCCATTTCTTTTCAGATAGGCTTAGAGAGCTGTTGCCCTGAAATAATTTTACTCTGACACAAAAGTCAATTATACTAATTGTTCAGCAGGAATTAACCTCTTATTCATCATCGTGTTATTACTGTTGCTAGGCTCACTTTGCAAAGATCCGTTCCTTTCCTGTATCTGCAATGCCAAGTGCCAGAGCCCGTGAGCCTCTGCAATGTCTGGGAAAGAGCTATCTCATTGTATTGGAAACAGACATAAATATTGAATACACTTCTAAACTGATCGGAATATTGAAATACGCTGAAAAAAAACAGGTCAACCTTTAGATGCAGAATAATGATAACAATTTTCTGATTAAAATTAACTTTGCCTTAAATCCAATTATCATTAACGAAGCAAATGGTTATCTGCATATTGACAGCTATTAAAATTATATCTGAAGAGCTTTTCATCAAGGAAAGCTTTCATCTAGGAGTGACCAGAAGCACTGAATCGGAAACTTCACAGGCACAGGGGATGTTGGCTCAGCAATACGCCAGAAGCACCCAGTGGAAGATTCACCTGCACGGCTCATCAGCCAACCTGCCAAAACATTCCCTGAAACTTTCCCAAATGTCCTGCATGGAAATCCTCTCCGTATACGAACATGGTTAATTTTGTTAAATCGATATCATGTTTTTCACAGTGTGAAGGTGTTGTGTGTATACCATGGAGTTTTCTTCAGCAAAGAAATGCCAGCACACAGATGAGGAGCCATGTAATTAGTTTTTCAGGCAAGACAAGTAGAGTCAGCAGGGAGAAAAGAGCAAGCTGGCAGAAAATGTACAGCCAGGATGATAAAATTCTGGAGTTCACCTTGCACAGCACTCAGCTTCTCTTGGCATTTGGTAGCCAGCTGGAGGGGGTGATGATACAGGGGTGAACACTGAAGCCAAATAAAATAAAGCAGGGCAGGGCAGAAAAACACTGATGGTGTAGGGATAACGTACACCTACTACCTGGAGTAATTGTGTCTGTGCCTAGACCACCCTGCCTACAGCCCAGAGGCCACCGCTCCGCTAGAGCCTGCCTGTCACCTTTCCGTAAAGTCTGGTGGAGACAACTCTAATTTTCCTCTCGTAGCTGGAAGCGGGCAGCGAGATAAGTAACTGAAAGTGAAAACCTACGTAAAGACAGCACGATTTGCCTTATCTGGGGACGCCAAGCCAGAGCCCTCACCTCAGTTTCGCTGCAGCTGGGCGCTGTGCCCGCACACTCCGTGCCTCACTCCGCGGGCTGAGGTCGCGAGGTGCCGCGGCCGCTCCTCTCAGCCGGGGCGCCGGGTCCCGCCTCAACGCCTCAGAGCCGGGGGCAGCCCCTGAGGGGCCGCCGGCCGCGGGGCCCCGCTTCGCCGGGCTGAGGAAGGGGCTTGTGGGGGGCTTCCCGTGGCGACCCGTGTAAACCTCGGAGCGGGGCGAGGACCCCCTCGGTGCTCGCCGCCTGGGGGCTGCCTCAGCAGGGGAAGGGGCGGGGAGGGGGGGAAGGCAGCGGCGGGCACCCGGCGGCCGCGGCCCCGAGGCGGCGGCGGAGCAGCGGCGTAACGGCGGGGAGCGGCCGGGAGCCAATGGGGGCCGGCGCGGCCGTGTGACAGGCGGGGCGGCCGCTGCCCCCGCCGGGCGGCCGGGGCGGAGAAGCGGCACAGCCGCGGCGCTCGGCAGCAGCACCAGCAGCAGTATCAGCAGCAGTACCGGCAGCAGCAGCCTCGGTATCCGCGGCGGGGCTGCCGCACGGCTCCGTCCTCCTCCCCCCCGGCAGCCGCGGTGAGGGAGGCCGGCGGAGCGGAGCGGAGCAAAGCGGAGCGGGGGGCGCCGCGGCAGACAAAGCAAAGATGGCAGGGATCCTCGCCTGGTTCTGGAACGAGCGGTTCTGGCTGCCGCACAACGTCACCTGGGCCGACCTGCAGAGCACGGAGGAAGCCTCCTTCCCGCAGGCGGAGGACCTCTACCTCGCCTTCCCGCTGGCCTTCTGCATCTTCATGATCCGCCTGCTCTTCGAGAGGTAACGCGGAGCCGCCCGGCGGGAGCCTCCTGCGGGGGGCGCGGGGCTGGGGGGCCGCCGGCCGGGGGGGGCCGCCTCGGGTCCTCCTGCCCCGGCCGGGCCGGGCCGGTAGCGCCGTGCCCCCGGCTCGGTCGCGGTGCGGGCCCGATGCGGGAGGGCGGCGGGCTCCTGGCTCCGGGAGCCGGCGCGGCGCGGAGCGGGCGCTAGGAGGCGAGGTCGCCCCGGGAACGGCCCCGGCCTCCTCCACCTGCGGCCCGGCGCCGGCGGGCAGGGCCCCGGGGCACCTGGGCACGGCCGGGGCCAGCGGCCACCACCCCGCTGGCGCCCGCTGAGGGCAGCGGGAGGCTGTCGCGACAGGAGGGGTCACCCGCGATTATCGCCGCGGGGCTCCCGCGGAGGGGCCGTGGGGCGTGTGTGGGGAGGCTGGGGCGGAGCGGGCTTTCCTGCGTGCTCGCTGCTGTGCCCGCGAAGAACAAAGAGCGGGGGCCCCGCAGCGCCCGCCGCCCTCCCGAGCCGCGCTGCCGGGGCGGCGGAGGAGGGCCGAGGGGGACCGAGGAGGAGCAGCAGCCGCTGCGCCCCGGGGAAGGGCTGGCACGGTGCTGTGGCAGCGACGAAATCGCAGCCCTGCGGGGCGGAGCTGCCGCCTGGGCGCTCCCTGCCCTGGGAGCACGGGGCCGGGGGCTGCGGTGCCCGGGGCAGGCTGCGGGTGCGCCCAGAGCAGAGCAACTTCGGTGGCACTCTGCTGGAAGGCAGCAAAACTTGTGGGGAGCGTGGAAAGCTGAGCTAGCCGCTTGTCCCGGATGGAATACCGCAGTAGGAGTGCAATTAAAGTACCCGGTGTCGGTTAGGTAGCGCCAGATCGCTCGCTGGTTGCTGCTTCCCTTTGCTGTCTGTACAGCGTGTGCCTTGTAGCGCTGAGGGCGGGTGCGTGATTTTGCATCTCTTGCCATCTGAACTGCAACGCGTGTCACAGCAGGGCTGTGTTAGGGGGCACAGCAGTTAGTCACGGAGACAATGTCAGCCTAAACTTAGAAACACTCTGTTTCTGCCGGTTCTGGTGCAGCTGTGTAGCACAGAAGCTGCTATGATTTCTTAGCAGTCTGCATCTACCCCCACAGGCTAGCTTTCTTAATTCAATTGAAGTAATTTTTAATTTGGAAGACCATTTATATTTATAAGTGTTGGCTCTGCAGATGAGGAATTGGGTACGTTTCCATACCTCTTCTATTTTCGCTAGGCTAACTTTGAAATTCAGCTTTGGAAACATGTATTGGTAGCTTGATAGTAGGTGAGAGACCTCCAAAGAGGTTTTATTAACAACTACTTGAGTATGTATTTGTTCCTTTTTAATTTCAAACCGATTGTAAGCCTCCAATGTGGGACTAGGATTTTATGTGAGGTTAATCCACACAGCCTGGTACAGTTGTGATTTTTAACATACAGCATTTTACTAAAGCAGGCAGAGCAGAAGTGACTGGATCTGCTTCCACTGATCAAAGTAGGAGGATTGTCTTTGAATGAGAGAAAAATCAAGCCTCGTTATTGCTCATTAGTAATGTATTTCATCAGACCTTGGTTTCTTGTTTGCAGGGAGCAAGAGAAATACCTCGTGCATCGTTAATAAGAGGTTTGCAGTTACTTCAGTTGGTAAAAATGTCTGAGATCTGGAAGGGACAAGAGCAGGAATATCTATTAAACTGATGATTTCTTCATTTTTCTGTGTATTAAAACAGATGCATTTTTTTCCTTTCAAAACTCAGTGTTGGTGACTGATGTTATATGTGCTGCATCCTGGAAGAAGCTTTTGCAGATGTGTTCACTGATTTGGCAATGGTAGTGCTTAAAGGACGAATAAAAATAGATGCTGTAAAACAACTTTAAAAGTTCCATGTGTACTTTAAATCCATGGCTGTAGTGAAATACTTGTAACAGAAGCGTGTCCCGTTTCCTTCTGCAAGATACCTAACAGGTACTCTTGTAATTCTTTATTCTGGTAGGCAAGCAGCCACACAGTGCTGAGAATCTGGTGATTTAGTATCCGTTATTTTCTAACTCCTTCACAGTAGCTGGCTGCCAGGGTAGAATGGTTTTACTTTGCTTGAGCTAAAGGATGACTAACTTCCCAGATCTTACTGCTGTAAGAAATACAGTTTCAGGTGGAGCTATGATTTGGACTTCACATGTCTGCTTACAAAGTTCTCAATATGTCTGGGGGGTAAAACTTGTCATGCTAAAGATGAAAAGTTGACTTCATTCATATCTATATGTACTTTATATACATATAGAATACGTATATTTGTGTGTCCATGTTTTTGTGTGCAACTGTAAGCATAGAACTTGAAAATTTTGTTCTATGTCTATTCACCTATTATTAACAGAGTTAATTCTACTGGTTGCTTGGTGGATATTTTTGGTTGTGGTGGGTGGTTTTTCCATTTGTTTGTTTCGCTATTCCTTTGAATCATCTAGCAAAGTCCAGAAAAGAATCTAGACGCTTCTGAAATTGTTTTATTTTCTCTTTTAAATAAAACACTTTTTCTTCCATTTCCCTACCCTGTCATCACTGGCCATCACACTTGTGGATGAAAGGAAAAAGTAGATTAGAACATTAAGCATGTTCTGAATCGCTTCGGCAATTGGATCTGATGATGATGAGTGCTCTAGAAATAAGCTTTGCTCACAGGTATAATCTCATAACTGTGAGATTTAGTGGCTCTATCTGCTAAGGCCGTCATAGTTATGGATGAGGTGCTGAAATACGTTAACAGCCTTTCCTTTTTTCCCTTCCTTCTCATTTATCTCTCTCTTTAAACACAAAGTATATTTTAGAAAACTGTAGCTAAGCACAATGATAGTGTTACCTAGTAATTCAGAAGATGACATGAGTTCAGCACTGTGGTGGTAATGTGGAGACATATTTCTTCATGGTATCCATCATTTTTTTGTGCTTTTTGTTGTTATTTGTTTTTAAAGGCACATCAGCAATTAAGGATCCCCTTTTGTACTACCCAACACCTTCATCTATAAAGACACAAGAGTTTTTATTACTACCACTCTCTCCAGATCCTCTCTAGTTCTAGAGTGGACAAAACAGGTTAAAGCTGAATCGAAGTTGATCTAGCTAATAGCAGGGTGCTGCAGCCTCGGTTGGCCTAAAAAGATAAAGAAGCATTTGTTATTCTGGGCAAAATATGATTTTTCTTCTTTCTTCTGTGGGATCTCATAGATCTTCACTGCTGAGTGCAGCAGCCTTTCCTATTGTCCCAAGCATGTCCTCCGTGAGGGACATGTGGTGACAAAAATAATATTTGCTCAGCAATCAGTGTGCTTGTCTGACACACAACAAGAGGGTAACGCTCCTCTCCTTTAGAGCCATCTCTTGAGGGAGAGGTTGGCTGAATCCTCCAAAAGATGTGCTAACTAAACACATTTCTGATGTGGTCCAGCAATCTTATATCTGAGTCAAGTAACCTTTCTTACTGCGTTCTGTACACTTGGCTCATGTTCTTGGTTCTCTTCCTTGCACTGTGGTTGCAATGTGCTTTCTTTCTCTTGCCTTGCAAGCAACAGTTTGGGCTCAGATCTAATAAAGTATCTCCATAAATTGTCAATCTGGGATTACAGTGCCTTTATTGTCCTCAGGCCTTGCTATAGGGAACATTTCTCTAAGGTGAAGCTGATCATCCTCAGCTGACGGAATGGTTTACATGGTCAGAGATAGCTTGGTTGTAAACAGGAGCAGCCCTCCAGCTGCACTGATTTAAACTGAGCCAGCCTCCTGGTTTAAGATCAGTCAGATCAAGATACCGTAGATGCAAAGCATATGGAAACTTGTGGCTTTTGTATGATGTTTTTCTTTTATAATGATAATTCAGCTTCAAAGGTAACCTCAGCTGGCTCATATGTAGTGAGTGTAACTGTAATTCCTAGTGGATCGGGGCGATGTGACACAACGTATGTGTGAGCATGTATATATATATTGCAAACTGTAACAAATAATTCAGGTGGCAGTACATTAAAGCACTTAAAAGGTTTCTGATATGTGGCATATACATAAAAATTTGGCTTTCATCATCCCTAAGATGTTCAGAATTCGTGCTCTCCTATGATAACAGGGAGGTCAAAGAGGATATAGAGCTTGGAACAGTGAGCACGAGCTTTGTGCATTTCCAGCAGCTCAAAACCACTTCTCAGCAGGCCAAGTGAGGCAATGATTGTCATTTTCACTCATCCAACCCTGTTTGTAGGCAGTGACACTTGTAGTTTTCTTGCTTAGTTCCCTGTGTGTTAGACATGATCTGATCGTTCAGGTATAATTCACATGTGTGTAAGTGGAGGCAGGTGATCACTGACAGGAACTTCTTCGGTTCTATTTTTATTTATTTTTGTAATTTCTAATAACATAATCAATGTGGTTTTATTGTGTTTTTTGTTATTGTTGTCAAAAACTGTTTGATAAATACTTAATTCAGTTGAAATGGAATTAGACATTGAAATTGGTAACTCCCTTACGAAAAGATACTGGCAATGTGAAGAAAGTGACAAGCTATTTCTTTTAAACTTTAACCCATTTCTTTTTTGAAATAGTAGAATCAGTAGAGCACTAACAGTAAATGGATTTAAAATGAATGTATATCTTGCCGATTGTGCTATCCATTTCTCTGTTTTTCTTCCAGTTTAGTTATTAATCTTCTGTCATTTACATTTTTGTTTATGCAACCAGTTTTTGTTTCCTAGCGTTGCAGTGTTTGGGTTTCAGTCACTAAAACAAGTAGATATCTCACAGCAAAATGATTGGTTTTGCCTTTCTAGCTCTGAGCAGCACAGCGTACGCTCGCCCACCTCAGGTGTGACTGCTGGCTGCTACGCATCGCTGTTGCTTGGAGAAAACCGTAGGTGTGTGTTCACATGTAAGCCGAACACGTTCCTTTAAAAGAAGGCAGAATGGAGAAAATAGGTACCATTTAAATGTCTCTTGTAAAGGCCCATTTATAGATGTA